TCAGTACAGCCTTTCACCCTCAAACAGATGGTCAATCAGAGAGGACTATTCAGACTTTAGAGAATTTACTCAGATTATGTGTACTGGATTTTGGTGGCAAATGAGAGACACACATTCCACGGATTGAATTTGCTTATAACAATAGCTTCCAATCAAGTATAGGCATGACACCTTATGAAGCTTTGTATGAAAGGAGGTGTCGAACTCCTTTATGTTGGGCTGAGACTGGAGAAAGAAAGATCATTGGAGCTGATTTAGTAAATGATGCTACTGAAAAGATAAGGCTGATTCGTGACAGATTGAAGGCTGTGCAAGATAAACAGAAGAAGTACTATGATGCCAAACATAGATTTGTTGAGTTTGATGTTGTAGAGTTTGTATTCCTCAAGGTTAGTCCTATGAAAGGTGTGAAGAGATTTGACAAAGTTGGAAAACTAAGTCCAAGGTATGTTGGCCCTTTTGAGATATCAGAGAGAGTTGGCAGTGTGGCTTACAGATTGATTTTGCCATCTCACTTGAGTGGAGTACATAATGTATTCCACATCTCTTCTTTGAGGAAATATATTGCAGATGAAGCTCAGAAGATCAGTACTGAAACAATAGATATCCAGCCATATCTGACATTTATAGAAGAACCTGAGAAGATCATAGACTATGATGTTAAGCATCTTCGAAGCAGAGAGATTCCTTATGTTAAAGTTATGTGGAAGCATGGAACTGAGAAAGATGCTAATTGGGAGAAGGAGTCAGAGATGAATGAGAGCTACCCTCACCTTTTTAACTAAGTTATGATCTCTTAAGCTTGTCATAAATTTCGAGGACGAAATTTTTATAAGGGAGGGAGAATTGTAAAACTCGAAAATGCAGTTTTAGACCTCACATCCTTTTCAAAGCGTCGTGATGAGTTTTAAGTGAAAATTTTGAGGTTGTCGGATTTCGACGGGAATAATTTTATAAAATATAGCACAAAATTCTGATCAATTTGGTATATAGAACTTGTATTCAATTTCACTTAAATTAAGAGATATAATTTTTAGAACTTCAAAAATACACAAACTACCCCTATTCATATTTAATGACGGGATTGTTTAAGTGAGGGTAATATGTTCTTTTGCATCTTCCCTTTTTCCCTAAAAAGAGCAAACCGCCCCTCCCCCTCTCATTTTCCTTCAGCCAAACCGAGAGGGAGCGGACGGACCGAGCAGAGGAGGCGACGGGCAAGGGAGACGGGCGACTCCGGTGACCTTTTCCGGCGAGGAATTTTGGGGAAATTGAAGAGGAAGTCAAGGGAAGGAAAATGTATGCAATAGAACTAGGGTTTTCCCACTCTTTCTTAATATTTTTGGATGAGAAGATTTCTAGGGTTTTTAGAAAACTTGGTTTTTCTTTAGAAAAGTTTAAGGATGGGTTAGGGGAAGTTTTAAACCCTAATGTGAAGTGTTTTTATGAAAAATGAGAATTTTGGAAATTAGGGTTTTACTTAAAAATTGATCTTCTTTGGAAATGCCTTCACAAAAGATGTTTCTAATGACATGAGAAAGTTTTTATGGGAAGACATTGTAAGGTCTATGCAAGATTTTGAGTTTTGAGATTTAGGGTTTTTTCCCCAATCATGATATCTTTGATCCCTATGGTTTTTATTTGTTTTAGACAGGATTTTAGAGGCTAATTTATGAATTTTATTTTAAATAAAAGATTTTCTAATTTTTTATTTCATTAATTCCAAAATTTGATTTTATTTTAATTATGTTTTGAGGGTAGGGAAAGGTGTTGCATGCTTAAAACCTAAGGAATTGGACTAAACCATAATTGAGAGAGAATGTGTTTGAGAGATATCATGATTTGGTGTGGAGGGCTTGAATTGGAACATAAACAAGACATTAGAAGAACCCTTTTATTACTTTAGAATTAGGGTTTAGGATATTGTATAGGGATTAGTCACTTATACTTTTCTTTGTATGTCTCTTTTAGATATAAATCGTGTGGAGGGAAATAGTTTGATCGGACAAAGAAAGAGGTGCACGGATTGAGGTAGGTGGAATGGATGTTCTTATAAAATTTAGACAAATTTTCTTTCATTGCAAATTACATTGAAATGACAAATTCCTTTATGCTCATTATGAAACTCTTATGGCTCATGTTCCCATGTAAGTTTATGGACACTAGAATTAAATGCAAAGGTTTTCTTTATACAAATGTACAATTCATGAATGGATCTCATGCTCATTTCTCTACTCTTACTATACATGACTTTCTTCTTTACATGCAAAAGTGCACATAAACATAGCAAGCATACATATCTCTAAGAAAACATACACTTGGTTAGTTTATAAATGATTTACATAAAAAATATCTTATGGTTATATAAGTAATAAGTGTATGAGCATGTTGACGCGGGAGTATCACATGGTAAAGGAGGCTCTTATGAGCCATGGTAAATGATAGTTTCTATGAACTAATGGTAAAAGAAATAACCAAATTTTATGTACCTGATCAGTACAAGTGATACTCCTGAGACGGGTGTTATATTTACATGTTAAACTATTACGAACATTTCATATTCATGTTATGCATTTGAGACTATCATGTGAGGTAAAATGTTAAAGGAAAAATGGAAATGTTATGAAGGAAAAAGCACTTGAAAGTTGAGGTAAGGGTATGCATTTCCTCTAAGCAAAAGTTTCTTTATGTTGATGTTTCT